TCACTACCTTACCAGATTCAAATGCAACTTTCACCCCACCTTTCCTAATAATCCCATGGAAACCAGATTGGTTCGGATACTAGGAACATGCAACATTCAGTCAATGCCAAAGTTTTTTCAAATGTGAGTTTGAGAAGAACTTTTCCTTTTCCAAGGACTTGAGTGGCTGAAGAATCACCAAGATACACAACTTCTTCTTCTTCATTGACTTGGGTGTAAGTCACACAAATATGCTTAGTAGCATAAAGTCAATCACCCAATCACTCACACTGACCACAATATTTACTTGAGAAATGATCACAATAATAATATCATCTACTTTATCCAAATTAGTTTTTGGTTTAGTAGGATTGTCAATTTTCTCAAAGATTTTATCATTGACTTTAAATATAATATATTTCTTAATATTAAAATTATAGAAATGGTTAGCATATCGACATACCTTATGACAGCAAAAGCACAATTAAATTGTACAATGTTACCTTCGAAAACAGAACTCTTATAACATTTGGTTAAGTCACGAATCCAGCTCGTAACATGCCAACTCCAACCTATCCATATACTAAAATGAAGTGGGTTTGTGATGTCTCCTCTAATTTTTCTCGTACGTCCTTAATTCTTTCTTTTAAGTAGTCTTCTCTTATCATGGATTTAACAAAGATCTGATAAAGTTCATATATAGCACTTGACCTCTCCTTGTTCGCTCTTCATGAATATCGTGTAGAGAATTCTTCAACAGTAGATGAAAATTGCACAATTATTTCCGTGTTCCATAATCATAAAGCAAATATCCTTAAGATTGTTGGAAAAACTATTGGAAATCACGGAAATCACCTAGCTTGAGGTGTGCCTATGACACTGTCCTTCAACAAGCTCTTCTAATACTAAAATTAGGAGCCAGAATCTAACAAAGAATATCTTTTACTTAAGAAAACCCTGCAAATAAATAAGGAAGAAAAGTTATTTTAATGTAATGTCTCATTCTATTTCTTTTTACACACAAAAGTACTATATATAGATATATAGGTATATGGTAAATAGCATTCCATCAGCCGTGCATTATATGCACATTAAGACCAAATAATTGCCATAAAGGCTATAAGTTATTACCAAATATTTCATGGACCTTTTGTAACACCCAAATCAATAGTAGTTGATTAATGCCATAAAGGCTATTAACAACTTCCATAATAAGAAAACAAGCGGTTGCTACACAATTAAAAACCTTAATATATAATATTAGTAAGCTAAAGTAATTAAGGTAATAATATGTAATAAATAATTTCAAATATTATTCTTATACTTTTTAAGATAATAAAGATATTTTATCAACAGTTAGAAAATTAATGAAATCATTCATTCAACCAACAATATTGGCTCACCAAAATTGAGCTCCACCTGTCTATTTGACACCCCAAGTCAAATCCCTGCATTCTTAATACTACAACTAAATATGCATAGACTTTCTTCAAACTTGTGTAAGCGATCACCCAAGTAGCAATATAAGATTTAAATGTTCAATAGTTTGGTTGATTGATGATCACTCTAATTGGTTGGGTTCTAGACTTAACAAAGACCCGCATAACCTTGCCCTGCATAGACCCATCCAGCATAATTTTTCATATATTTTCTTTTTCTAGTAAAGTTTGATACTAAAAATAAAATTCATAACAATAAATTTATTTTTCATTAATTTATATTAATTTAATAGACAATGACTTAAAAATTTAATTTTAGAGGTCAATTGGAAAACATGTAAGAAATTGTATAATTTTTATTGAACCAATATCATTTACTATCTTGAATATTTTAGTAGCTTAAATAAATTATCTTAATAAATAATGGTCTATCATTCTTATGACATGTAAAAAGTTAAAATTAAGTTTGAACCCACATAAAATTACATTATACCTGCAACCCGCCCCGCCCTGCATAACCTTAAACCCACCTCGCCCCATTGCCATCTCTACCTACACTTTTCATTTCTCATATGGAATAGTGTCTTTCAAATTATTAGATCTCTACTTTTATAGAGCTACTGCATGTATATACATTAAGAAGCGACAATCAATTCTCTATCAGGATACAACAAAGCCTGAATAGACAACTTTTTGTTGCCCCCTTTCTGAACAGGCAAAACTATTTGTTGTTCCTTTTGTTGTTACCTGAACTTATAAGTAACACATTCAATATTTCCTTCAAAGTTCGGTTTTTCTTTCCGCAATTCCATTAGATTGAGGTGAATATGGACAGTAGTTTGATGGATGATTCCATTTTTAAACTTTTATCTGCAAAAGGAGATCCATATTATCCACCTCTATCACTTCTAATAATTTTAATTTTTTTATTCAACTAATTTTCAACTTCACTTTTATATTGCCTAGATTTATCTTTTGCTTCATCCTTACCATTCAGCAAATAGACATAACAATATCTAGTGCAATTGTCAATAAAAGTCATGACATACTTTTTTCACCACAAGACGGTATTGACTTCATATCACAAATGTCAGTTTAAATCAACTCTAAGGGATTAGAATTCCTTTCAACAAATTTATAAGAATGATTTAATCAGTTTTCGCAAGATTTTGTAATTGATATGTCCCAAACATTCATGTCACAAATATGTTAACTCAAGCAAATAAGAACAATCAGAAATATTAGTTTGAAAAGACACTCCGTAAGGTGACTATTTCTCACAAATATTTTGTTCTTTACTTTTTATAACTTTGTCAGATACAAACATTGTTTAGAGTCAACACCTTGCTAGATGTCCTTTGCAGAAGGCCTTGTATAACCTTTAATTTGGTTGTTATCGAATTACATATAAACATAGTCTCATCGGGTCCAATAAGGGAAATATGACTCAAATGCTTCTTTTACAACACAAACATGACAAATGATTTTTCACAAATATTCATGTTTATACAGATAGTTATATTTTAATAGATAAATATTTTCATGAAAAATTACAACATTAGAAGTGAAACTCTTTCATAATGTAACACTACTCTTTCGAACAAGTATATATTTAATTTGGGTCATTGATTTTCATATTTTGTGTTTCAACAATTAAATCAGACGCCAAATCTAATTTTGATTTTTATCACAAGCAAAGAGCCCTATTTTTTTTTAAAATATGATCTTAAAAATATTTTTCAAGTATTTCAAAATAATTTTCCATGCTTTCAACTTGTATATCATCAAAATACAATTTGGCAGCATGAAGCCACTTTTAGAGATAATATTCTACAAAAGAATTGTTAGTGCTTCAATTCCCTTTGACAATCTTTACAAAATATCAAATTTCAATCCATAGACATTACAAGCACAAAATCACTGACTTTATGTAACATTTTTTCCTATCACAATTAGACAGACAATTAAGTATTTAGAATACTAATAATAAAGAATGAATCTTTATACAACTTGTTTCTAGTTAACAATGAAGTTTTTGTATTCTACAAATCGTTAAAAGAATGAACTTTGAGTGTTGGCAAAGTTTTTATTACTTCAAATCAGTTTCATGTTCAAACGGAGTTGAAAACCAAGAGATTTTAACCTTCAGAAACCAAATATACAACACTGTTTCTAGTTAACAATGACGTTTTTATATTCTTTAAATCGTTCAGTCTTAGTACTCTTCAAGTCGAAATATTCATTCAAATAGAGTGTTTAGTAAATTAGTGATTTTTTTATATTCTTCAAACCAAAGGAGTGCACAGTCAGTTTTAGTCTCCAAACTTGACCATAAAATAATAATAAATATGTCCTTGAACATCTTTAAAATTGAATCACACTTCTCAAAGTATAACCCATTTGGTACGCTGCCAAATTGCATAAGTGAAATCTCATTATTGATGACAACCTATTAATTTGAATTAGCACTCGAACTTATTTAGTCTCTTCTTCCTCGACCACACTCAATAAATCAAAGCATTAGAGATTGCAAATAATCAAACCAATAGAATATTAAAGTAGTATTGTTCATCATAAAGTTCTTGTATCATAAGATAAAATGATTCTCTTTCTCATTCTTTTTTTCTCCAACAAAGTAGAACACAAGAAATACCTACAGTAGAATAATTTCCTTAAGATTATTGCTAATATGTATCACTAAAATATTTAGAACAATAATTTTGGAGAACTTGATAAGAAAAAACAAAGTTTAAAGAATATTTTCAAACCAGAAACTTAAAAACAGTAAATACAAAAGAACTTGACAAAATATTCCTCTCTAGGAAGAAAATCGATCCCTGTGAACTGATAGTGTTTCCTTAAGGAATTTATTTCCCTCAAGTACCCGAGGTTAATAGAATGTCCTTTTCATAATAGAACGATCTTACTCACTGGTGTATTGGCACCTCAAATGACGGTGTCAATGAACCACTTAATGACAATAAAGTACACTAGAATTTTTTTGTGGAGATGAAGAAGAAGTTCTGAAGTTCAGAAAATTCGTTCTTGAAAAATAAGAGGAAACTCCACTATTTATAGACAACAAAGGGTAGTGTGAACAGATTCTTATTGTGCCTTATCGGAAAGGTCACAACCCTTTGGGAAAAATTCAAAAGTCATAACCCTTCGTAAAAGTCACAACCTTACGGAAAAGTCACAACTTTTTGGAAAAGTAACAACTCTTCATAAAAGTCACAACTCTTCAGAAATGTCACAACTCTTCATAAAAGTCACAACTTTTTTCAAAAAAGTTACAACTTTTCATTTTCCATTCACCTCTCTTTAAAACCCAGCAGTTTTCATGACACTCAATGTCAACATTCTAAATCTTACTTCCAAACCAATCTGCATTTACTTGTTATAACTGTTGTTTTCTATTATTGAAATAAAGGAAAAAGAAAAATAAATATCATTTTTATCCTTTTTGAAGACCATATACCACATACCTCATTGCCTAAATTTCCTTTTCTCGAAATCTTGTTGCAATTTGTTTTTCAAAACTACCCAAAAAAATATTTTCTTTAATTTTCTGAAAATCTCGCAATGGACAATTTTTCCAAGGAAGAAGTTGAAGTTGTTGTGGTTGGAGCTGGTCCATCAGGTATAGCTGTTACAGCATGTTTGAACAAATTGGGCATAAAAAATATTGTGTTAGAAAAAGAAGATTGTTGTGCCTATTTGTGGAAGAAAAAGACTTATGATAGACTTCACTTGCATTTATCTAAAGATTTTTGTTCATTACCTTTTATGCCACATGCAACTTCATCACCTAAGTATTTGTCAAAAAATGAATTTATTCAATACTTAGATGAGTATGTTAGGCATTTTAATATCAAACCAAAATTCCAAACTTGTGTTGAATTAGCCTTTTACAACAACGAGGAGAAGAAATGGAATGTCCAATCAAGAAATGTGGCCACTGGAGAAATGGAATTGTATGCTTGTAATTTCTTGATTTTGGCTACCGGAGAAAACAATGAAAGTTATATTCCGAAGGTGGTAGGGATAGAAAATTTCAATGGTAAAAAGATTCATTCAAGTGACTATAAATCCGGCGAAAAATATAAAGATAAAAAAGTATTGGTCATTGGATCAGGAAATTCTGGGATGGAAATAGCTTTTGATCTTTCAAATTATGGAAGTCACACATCAATTGTTGTTAGAAGCCCCTTAAGTCTCTATCTCTCTATTTCTTGTCCTTACTTTATCGTTTTTTGTTCTCATGCATGTGGATTTGTGTTTGTTGATTTTTTTTTAATTGATATCAGTGTAGTGTTTGATCATATTAGTCATACATCAACTATTTTACTTGGTACCTATTACTTTTTACTAGTATATGTGATGTTGTACTTTGTTCATCTAGAGATCGTGTGGTTTCTTGCCCATCAAAACCAAGTCATACCCTTATGTGAAAGGGCCAGAATTTGAATATGATTTTCATATATACTACCTTATGGTATTTCTTATCTAAAAATAAGTTTTGATTCTCTTCACCTCCAATAATTTCCACCAACTCATCAGTTGCGGCAGAATTTATATACTAACATACTCAGATCCAATTGCACAATACAATATTACAAAAACAACCTCGATTTTGATGATTTAACTGGTTGAATAGAAAGTGATTAAGGAATATAAAGTTGAATAATTGTAAATATAATTTTTTTGGATAGATATTTAATTAAATTTCCAAATTATTTCATTTCTGAATCGCATAGAATTAGAAATTTTTAATTCATGTTCGCTTTCTCATCAGGTATTTTATATCGTGAGAAAAGAAGAGTAGGATTTGGAGAGGTGACAAGTTTTTAAGTAAAAACAACCATACATTATAGTTAATTTGTTTAAACAACTCATATATTTTTTCCTTTAAGGAACCAAGTTTGAAGAATAAGAACTAGGATTTCTTTTATTTTTTAAGTAGAATCTTGATTTTTGCTAAATTTGTCTTATTAACAATTTGTTACATCGTCATTTTGACATGTTGCACAGAGAACATATTTTATTTTTTATGATTTTGAATCTCATACTTTTGAAGAAACTCGCCAATAGATATCTATTAGATGACTTGATAACTGATAGTACACAAATTATTTACACTAATTGAATATGAAACTTAGATTCCTTATTTAATTTAATCTTTTGTGCATTACCCATATATATTTCCTTTTTTAGAGATGTTGCTTAATTCCATTACCAACTTTGATCTATGTTTTTGTATACTATAATGTCTCAATTTAGAAAACCTTTCTCCATCGGGAGAAAGATATGCATTGCATAGAACCAAGCAAGTCCAAATGGGGAGGCTTATTTTTGGACGATAACGGATGTTGTGCACTCTTTTTACTTAACAATCAAAAGTCTCATTTCATGTAATGACTGATTTTGCGTAATCATGTCATAACCTTTTATTTTTCTCATTTTACATTTATTTATTATATAATAATCATATTGTATCCTTTACCCTACCTTTTATTTTAAATCTACCTGTACGTCATATTTTATTCTTCAAATTGATGATGTGTGAAAATATGTAACATTGAAAATGAATCAATCTATCCAAATATCATATTTATCAAAATAATACAATACGATAGAATGCATTATGAAACAATATATAATAACCCTACAAACAAAGTGTTAATTACATAATCTAAAATTTTACTTAATGGTTAAAATAGTGCCCTTCACCCAATAATAACCCTCCAAACAGAGTGTTAATGGCATAATCTAATATTTTACTTAATGGTTAAAAGAGTGCCCTTCACCCTTTGTAATTGGATTAATGACATAATATCCTATTTGGCCAAGCTTTAACATTCAATCAATTTTGACATAATTGTATTTTGTTAATTAATTTGAAATAATTTTTTAGAAAATATAAGAGCACCAATTTATTCTTGATGAAACCATTGTTGTCGTCAACTTTGCGTTGATTCTACTAAATATGTTCATTTCATTCGGAAAAAAATAAATTATATTTAGTTATTACATATGCATATGTTTCCTTTATCTTTTCGATGGTAATTAATAGTCGTCATTTCCATCAAGTAACACAAATATCTAAAGCCTTATCTCTAACACGGAGTAGAAAAAATAGCATATGTTTGTATCTCAAAATTGAAAATAATAATAGGTAAGGGATGATACATTTAGGATAAAATGAGTGACTCGTCCTCCCTAATGCACATGTTTTGATCTACTTGCGGACTTACATTTTCAAGACTTTATCCTTCAAAGTCTTGCACTTTAAACCTTGCACTCTCTTTCAGTTCTGCAAACAATTTTTTTTACAGTTTACAATAGCAAACCTCAACTTATGTATTTTTCATGAGTTGAGGTGCACGATGTCCTTGGAAGGACCAGGGCCATTATGAAGGTAATTTCTGAATTATCCACTCTTAACTTAGGATTTTAACGTTAGTCAAAGTGCACAATATCCCAGAAGGGACCAGGGCCAATCACAGATTTAGGAACGCATAGGGAATCATTCTTCTACCTCTTCTCTTTCATTCGCCACAAATCAAGCATTTCCACCATATCTACTTTCACCATTGTCTTTGCTTTTTCATCTTAACATAGTGCATGAAGGATTACTTTAGGATCGACTACTTATGGTATCAATAGAAATGGGTTTGGCTCAATCAAGTGTGTTAAGAAAATAATCAAGGCTAAACGGCTCAATGGGGCTATACTAGGAATATTTCATTTGGAGGCGCAGATTTAAACTTGGTTATTCAAAGAAACGCCTCAATCATATTCCATAAATTACACAAGTTACTCATTAGGCACACTTGGGGCTAGTTCTACATGCTATTCAGTGCAAAAATTAAGTAAGTTCTCACCACACATGGCATCACAACACATATAAGGAAACATTCACTTGTAGCATGCTCAGATAAATTGCATTATGGTGTTTCCACACAATTAAGCCCATTTTCATTTAGAGTTAAAACAAAGAGCCTATGTTTGCTTCAAGGTTACCATTTCAACATTGCAAGTAAAAGTGTTACCACCCATGATGTCTGGCCAACTATTAAGACAATGCTTCAAAGTAACCAAAAAGGTCACTTTCATACTTCTCTACTCCTAGTGACTAATTTTCTCTTAAGACGGTCATCATCCATCCATCATCAAGAACTATCACTCCTATAACGACTCTAAGACTCAACAATAATAAGCAAACTATTCCTAGTTGGTTCAATGGGACTATCCTCAGAAAAAATACTGAAAACAAAAGCCGAGGAACCCTCCTAAAAAATAAAAAGACTCGATAAAGTAATAAACTATATACAATAAGTTAAGTTCAACTTCCACCCCACACTTAGATAAAGCATTGTCCTCAGTGTGTAATGTAAAACAAAGTGAACAGTGAAAGAAAACTCCATGTCGGCCTCTAGGCCACGTGCTCAAAATCAGCAAGTCACCACATCCGTGGCAAAATCCATAGCCATGAAGGCTGCATCACCATCTCCCGCATCAGTGTCATCATCACCAGGGCCAACATCATGTGACTCATCCTCCTTTGATCCATATTCCTCATCAGCAGTGGCATCATCATCATCTATGGGTTCTTGGAATGTCGGGCCCATCCAACACATGTACATCGCGCTATCCGTCAAATGGTAACGCTCTGCCAATGTTGCCATTTCATCCTCAGTAACCGAATGACCACCAATCGGTAGTTGAAGCTCGGTCATCCCATACATTTGACCCAACCACCTATCATCTCTGGTTTGCCTATCAACGGTAGAAAACACTTTCCCTTGAGATGGATCATGCACTTTAGTTTTTGTGACATCAACCAAGTGGCACACCAAATGAGGGGCTCGGGGAGGACATAGATCATGGACTTCTTCCTCAATTTCCAACGCACGGAGATACCTAGTGAGTAGACTGCCATAACAAAAATTCCACCATTTATTTATTCGAAACTTAAGCATATTTTGCCTTAAAATGGCACCTACATTCACTGGCAGCCTCTTCATAAGTCCGTAGACCAGTACAACTCTTTCCCTAGTGACCTCAAACGTATGCTTTCACGGCAATAAGGTACTAGACACAATCTTCAACCAGACTCGTGCCTCTAGATTCAAATGGGCCTAATGAAGAGTCGAATGTCGACCCATATCTCTAACTCTATCCCACCTAGAAACAAATTTCACCCCACACAAAGTATGCTGAATATCATGATAAGGGGGTCTTTCTATCATGGTTTGAAATTCAGAATGGTCACAGTTAGGTGCACCCAAAAACTCATTCAACGCTTCTACCAAAAATTGAACACGATTATTACGAATAAGACCTTGGTTCCACCTTAGATGATGCGTATTCCATTTAGCATAAAATTTACACACAAGGCTCAGATTACACTCACATTGATCCACAAAGATGTAATGAAGCCCCAAAGCATGGACTTGGGCATGAATATGAGGAAATTCTGCTAGCAATCGCCCTTTAATTACATATTCATCACCCATGTATTTAGCTTCCTGTTGAAAATCATACCACTCCTCTCCATAGTGAATAACTGCTTGCTTACCAAATTTTTGTGGCGGCAAGTCGATAGGTGCCCAACTTAAACTTTCAAAAGCCGCCCCTTTTCTATCCTGCTTAGTACTAGTGCCACTTGCAACATTCTTGCCTTTAGGAGCCATCCTTGCCTCAAATATTGAAAAAAAATAAAAAGAATTAGGGAGGAAAGGTGGGGGTCGGGTAGGCGGGGGTTAGTGGGTTTGATTTTTCATTGGAATTTTATGGGGTTTAGTGGTTGGGTGTGGAGGAAAAGGTAATAGAAGAATGTTTTAGAAAGAATTAATGGAGGAATTCGGGATTTGGGGAGGAATGTGGGTGGAGAAGATGAATAATTTTTTGGGAATTTAGAGAGAATTGGAAGAGAGGGGTCGGGTAGAGAGAGAAATAGTGGGAGAAAGTGAGTTGAATTTGGGTTGGTGGAATATTTAAAGTGGGTTTTGTGAAGTGGGTCACATGAAAATAAAAATTTTAGGACAAGGGGAGTGGCGCAATAGGAGTGCGTCGCGCTACCATAGTGCCAAAAATGACCCCTAGAACTTCCTACCTTGGCACGGCACGCCATAGATGCGCGTGGGCCTACGCTTGGCTTTTGGGATGGCGTGATATGGGCGTGGGGCACCGCCAGTGCATCTGAAATAGGCCTCAGTACTTGCTGCCTTAGCACGGTGCACCCGACCAAGGCTGGGCATCCTCGCCCATTTTCCAGTGCGCTTGTTTCCGCTTCTGTTATGGTATGGTCTCCGAT